TATAAAATATAAAATAAGTAATTTGATATATATTTATATATCAAATTATTTTAAGTAATTTTATTATTTTTACGTAGAAAGCTTGATAAAAAATTATATTCTTCTTACACATCAAGCTCACAAGTTTCCTTACCCGACCAAAGCCAACATGCTACAAACATGCTCGACGAAAGTCACAAACATACAATCATGAGCGATTATTCCGATAATAGTGATTTCCCAAACAATGATGGAGTGACAGAAGATTTTATAGAAATATTCCCGAAGTTCCACGAAATAGTATCCTGGATACGGAGGTACTATGGGACGGGATTCATTAAGGGGCCATACCGCGTCGAGTGCGAATGGCACAAGAGACAACGACATAAACGTAGTTACCGCTAACATGCAATATACTGCAATGTACAAAGTATAAATCATGATTTTGAACGTGTATTGGAGATACACGTGTATTTAGATACACGTGAAAAAGAGACCACTAGTACAAAGAGCGATTTGTGAAAAAAAATGCATAACTTTTGGAAATAAAACAGTATTGAGCATCCTTCTCATCGCTTCTCACCCGTATACGCCACACAAAATCGTCTACTGTTCTCTGCGTATAATTTCATAATCTCGTATTCTTCGGAAGTTTTCAATCCCTTCCAGTCGGTGAATAAGTGTTGAGTAAGGCTTTTGATCTGACAAAAAGTGGATATTATCAATTTTAAATAAAATAGCGTTTATGGAAGTCTAATAAATAAATGTATATAAAAATGGAGAAAAATATTGAAATTTTTTTTTTCTTAAACTGCTACTTTTAAAATCGAACATATCGAAATACTTAATTGCTTAATTAGAATATACCGTGCGTATATTTAATTGACACGTGTACATTTTTAACAAAGAAGTACATGTCAGTAAATACGATGTCATCGCCTCGCAAATACATTGCACATTTGTCTTGCACATAAATTGATAAGCAAACTGAAATCATTGTCGTTTATCATTCTTGCGATAGGTTCTTCTCTTTCGAGCATTACATCAATTTACCTGCGGAACGAGTACAGTCACGATGATTATAGTCGTAACAGCAACGCGAAATATCCTTGCTCTCGGTTTCAGATACGGCCACGTACCGTTGAGCGATGATATTTTGTAAACGATATTATAGTAATGCCTCCAGGTCTCCATAATTCTTAAAAAAAACCGCGTTTTCGCCACAGTAAAGGCGATTAATTTCAAATTTTTTTACGGCTGATCGCTCACCCTCTGATGTCAGACGCCAATTAAAATATCCCCTTGCGCTAACTGCTGTACATATAGCCGATTCTCACAAATATCTTTGTTGCATGTCATGTCAATCAACGACTGGACATGGAATTTATGGGAACAGGTAGTATTTGATTCTTTGACATTAATAATGTAGTTCCTCAATAATGAGCGGCTCGTTTTGCATGTTCCCTCCGAAGTGTACTTATCGATGAGAATGAAATAGTCCGATGAAATGAGTATTCTCTATTGAGACAGAGACTCTTAAATAAGTGTCGTGACTGTCCGAGGCCTCTGGAAGAGATCGGGAGGGAAAGCTTTTTAGTCGCTCATAGCAATATCGATAGTAAAATAAAATTTTATTACTTTTGTTTTGTTACATAATAGCGAATATAAACATTATTTTATTTGATCCAATATTTGCAATAATATACTCCTGTGGAACATTTCAGGGATATTTTACTATATGCTGCCATAATCGCCGGATATCGATCATGACACGTCAAAGGACGACAGTAACGTGAAGTACGACATCGAGCTTTGCACGATCTAAATGAAAATAAGGTACATATTCATGTATCTTTCTTTACATTTTTATATTTTTATATTTTTATAGCGCTTGTTAATAGCTCGTGTTAATTGTTTTACCGTCGTGAAATTTTCTAGAGAAAATATGTATATCTTGCCGGCGGACAAGACACTAGCCTCGATACTTTTTCTCATCACGAACATGAGCAGTTTTTGTTCCTTCACGGGTATAATATACCACGAACTATGATATCTGTAAAATTACCATTATACATACAAAATAAGCATAGTAGAAGTTTATTGATTGCAAATGATTAAAGTTGCTTGTAATAGTTTTTATAGGAAATATACCGATCAATTTATTTTCAACTTAATACTGTCTCTTACATCTTGTCGCGAATTTCGAGACTATAATCTATCACTTTTTGTCCTTGGAAGCTGAAGCAAAACAAGTGAAATAATTGAGCAGAAATGAAAATGAAGTATCTCATCGCTTCCGGTAAATCGTGCAGCTGTATCGAGAACTTTAACACAAAAAAGATAAAATCTTGTTTTAATCCTTTGCTAACATTATAAAATTCTCGTATTTGCTATCTATTAGTAAATCACTCACTTGTACCAAAGTAATACTCAAGCCAATTGTAACTATCAGAAGTTGCATAGCCAACGATATCGTAAAGATATGTTCAAGAAATTGAGCAAATCTATGACAAAAATATAATAATGACGACTAAATATAAATAAAATCTAAATAAAAATCAAACAAAAGCATCGCAACTTGTCATGATCTAGCAAAGATGATTTGTTAATTAGCATCAATATTAATGGTTGCGTTCAGCAGAGAAAATAGCTTTGAAAAGCAAACTTTCAAAATTATATTCAAAATATCATTTTTTGAATTAGAAATGGCATAGTGTTCAATAAAAGACACATATTATAATATTATATACTACTTTGAAATGTTCAAAAAGCATTTTTTCAGCCTCAAGCTATTAATATAATATATATTGAAAAAAATCTAGACATTTGATATGCGCTATGTTCTTTAATTAGAGACAAACAAAATGCATTTGTTTAATATTATTAAAAAATGTTTAGCAATTTTGTTTAACATATTACATCTTACTGGCAAATTGTTATTTTTTTTTTTTGCAAGACGCGTGACTTTTTTTCTCGTTTTTTGAAAATTACAAATTTTGGACAAAACGCATTTTGAAAGTCTGCTCCTTAAATTTTGTAACATTCTTTAATATAATTGTTTTATACATTTAGATTCAGAGTAAAGAACTAAAGGCAAGATCAATCATATAAACGAATTTTGCAACTTGCAACAGTTGCAAAGCTGCTTTCTCTGCTAAATGCAGCCAACGAGAGAAGTATGTGCTATAATCGTTACACACTCACTGTAAAGCCTTTCGATGAGCGGAAATCGATATTACGATGTTTTTGTGATACATAGTTTGTGATACATCCGGATAATTAATCATATTTTTTTCCATAGCACTACGTTTATGTGACACGTGCTCAAATCTAAATCTGTAAGTTTTTACGCAAAACATTGTTATGAGAATTTTTACCAATTATTTTCTGTCTCTTTCTAGCGAATATACAAAAGAGCTAAAAACTATTATTATATTATATTTACTTTTAAATATAGAGAATTTTATGTTTTTTAATTATAAGAGAAAAATGATCCCGCTTTCAGAAAAAAATAATCATTACCCAACAACAGCGAAAAGGCCGCAGACGTGTTCGACGTAAACGAAAAACATCCTAGCATGCGCGATTAATCCGGTTAAACACACGTTGCCGGCAATTAACATATGGAGAAAAATATAATAGAAATATTTATTTTCGTCAACGAAATAGTACGCTGGAATCGGTAACATTATAGGACGGGAAATATTCAATGGAAATACTATATCCAAGACACGTGGCACGAGAGAGGTTGTTGCAAATATAATGTTAGTCACGTAACTAAATGCTGCAACAAGGACAAAATTTGTAAAAACGAATTTTTATTTAATAAACAAATGTTTATTAAAATTATTTTTTAATTAAAGATTTTATTCCACTGAAAATATTTTATATTTTATTTTTATAAGTGTGTCTCTATATTTCTTCTTCAGAATATTTTTCTCTTTTAAAATTCTTATTTAATCTATATATATAACATTTAAATATTCCTTTTTGTCAAATATTTGACAGAAAAGTTTGTGACCGAATATCTTAATTATTTTAAAATTTTATTACAAAATAAAATTGTTCTTTTAAATATATTTTTCATGGTTTGTGAAGATTTTCTCTAGAAAAATAAGTTTTTTTTCTTGTGCGACTCTTCTTATACATTGAAATAACGTCAGTTAAATTTTATTAATGTGTTTTTTGTAACTCTAGTTTAAAAAATATTTTTATTTCTATTTTTTATTTAATTAAAGCAACACATACGAAAATAAAGAAAATATTATTTTATTTTAATTTTTTAATTACACAAGAAGTAAATTTCGTTGATTCTCAACTAAAATCAAATCTATTACTTACAACCGTATATCAGCGCATACCATCTGCCTTTCTCGGCATACTTTCTCATAATGTCGTATTCTTCCTTAGTTTCGAGTATATCCCAGTTTACGAATAAGCGATCTGTGAGATCTTTAATCTAGAAACATCAGCGATATGTGTTCGATATTTTGAATGTAATTCTCAATAATTATAACAACATCATCAATAAAGTCTAATGTCCATATTCATAGTCAGGCTTTGTACTTAAGGCTTCCTTAAATTTATCTTTAGATGCTTAGTAACCAATGAAATAATTCTCGTAGAGTATCTGAAGATAAATTTAAGGAAGTCTTAAATATAAGGCCTGACCATGAATAAGATTTTGCAACGCAGCTATTTTTTCGTGACTTTATCGTAAGTAGAATATACCAATACCATTTAATAAAACGTACTTTTTCATTATTAAAATGACACGTGAAAATTTTCATTAAAACTATCGTTGCTAATGCAAATGGAGGTAAAGTTTGGTAGATACACTGTGCGGTTTCGCACACGTAAATTTTTGCCCCCTGTAAACGCATTCACGTGAAGAAAGAACAATAAAATTGTTATTTTAAAAAAACTAAATATATAAAGATCACTTGTAACAAAACAATCTAGATGTGATATAAGGGTATATGAGCAATAGCCAGATTACAGTTGCTAAAATATAATATTTCAGATAATATAAAATAACATAAAATAAAATAAAACATACGTTTCGACCAGAAGATTCGGTCATTATCAATGTTGTTAAATATAAATAAATATAAGATTACATCCTAACGATTATATATGCAAGTTATACTAAACGATTATAATTACATCTAATTAATTTAGATACGCAATTGAAGTACAAAATAAATAAATAAAGTTACAAAAAGTAAAATGAATTTATTTATATTTAACATCATTAATAATGACCGAATCTTCTGATCGAAACGTATATATTTTATTTTATTATATGTTATTTGAAATATTATATTTTAGCGACTGTAATCTGGTTATTGCTCATATACTCTTGTCACATCTAGACTGTTATTTTATTTATTTATAATTATTGTAATACTTCAATTGTGTACTCAATGCAATCATCTTGTTAATTGTGACTTCAGAAGCGAAAAAAATACATGAAGAAGATTCTTGCAAATTTTATTAAAATATGAATTTTGTAATAAAATAATATTTGTAGTAAAATAGATTTGCCTAAATATACCAAAAACTCTCCTAATATTCCAGTAATCAATAAATAATATTCAAAATTAAATTATACCAGAAAATGAAACAAGCTGTATGACAGCTGTCGAATAAACATGATTTGATTCTATTCCGAGATAGGAATTTTCGATGTATTTTACAAGTATATTTTATCAAATGAAAATATTGTTTATTTGGAAAATATTATATTTCTATTTTAATCTATTTTGCATTTATATTTGCTTCTGTCGTCATCAATCTAAAGATTCGTGATGAGCGATTTGGATTTTTAACCAGCGCAGAATTTTAATAAATTTCTACCGTTTCTTTTTTCTCTTAAAAAAAATTCTTGACAACAATTATTGTTACCTGTGGAATGATTGAAGAGATTGCAAGTATCATTATAAGTGTAAAGTAAATTAGTTTCTCTTTCGGCTTCTGATAAGGCCACTGACCGATTAACATGAGGTACTTTTTATTGATATCGTAATAGTAACTTTTCCTGATTCCCATACTTCCATAAAACGGTCTTCTCAGCACTGCAATATCGTCTGAATTTCGAAACTTCTTTCGGAAAGTATTTTTTTCCGCAATAAGGGTCGGTTATAAGTAAATTAATATTTCAGATCCTTCCTCTCCGGCACGCATGTTCTCTTCCCATTGTCGGGGTGCACATTTTAAAACGATCACGTGGCTTATTTTAACTGACAGGCACTTTCGCTAAGTATATGTTTCAATATAACAGGTATTAATAGTATATGCAAATGAACAGCTGATTCTTTCAGAAATGTGGTTGGAATTACGAGTGTATTGAGTACGCGCTGAAACATACGATAGACGTTTGGAATCACATTGAATTGTACTGAACAGTTTCTTTTCGGACAGTACATGTATTTATCTGCGAGACTATACTTGCTAGAGCAACGCAGAATATCTTTGTTTCCAGTTTCTGATACAGTTACGTGTCGGTAAGTGATACTATAGACGATGTCATGATGATTGTTGTTGGTTTCGATAACATTTATAATTACAGTGTAATATCTTCGATAATACAAAGACAACTAATTTTGTACTTTTTTATCTAATTTTTCATTTGTGCTTAACCTTCAATATAAGATATAAATAAAAAAATCTTTTTTGGTAAATAACATACGTAGACATAAATGACTCTTACAATACAACTTCGTGCATATCGCGCAATGTTCCATCTGAATTTCTGTTCTAATGGATTTTATGAATATAGGTAATATATGCTCCTTTGACAATGCAGCTCCATTAATAAAAACGGCTTATTTTACAAATTTCCTCCGGAAAGCACATATCGCTCAAAATAAAATGACGCTACAAAATGAATATTTCTATTGGCTTTTATATACCATACTTCTGCATACTTCTATATATCGTATTTTAAGCTTTCGAGAGTAAGTATTTTAAGATCGATAGAGACAACTTTCTGGTTATTCAGAAATTATCGATAGAGAAATAAAATTGTATTATTTTTATTTTATTTTAAATAATAGCAAATATAAACACTATTTTATTCATTGTACAAATTGTAATATTATATATTACTGTGGAACGTTTCAGAGATATTTCACTACATACTGTCATAATCGTTGGTATCGATCATGACACGTCAAAGGACGATAGTAACGTAAAGTACGACATCGAACTTTGCACGACCTAAATGAAAATTAGATTTTATATATTTTTTTTATTTGCATATTTCTACGACGTTTGTTATATTCATTGTTTTACCGCTGTAAAATTTTCTAGAGAAAATACGTATATCTTTCCGGCGGTTAAGACACTAGCTTCGATACTTTTTCTGATCACGAACAAGAGTAATCTTTGTTCCTTTATTGGTATTGTAAACCACGAACCTCGAAATCTATAAAATTATACTATTATACTATTATCATTACTACTATTGTATTTGTAAAATGATAAATAAGAATATAATCTATTAATTGCAAAGAATTTTTATAAATATTTTTTTATGTTTAATATCAATCAAATAGTTAATTCATTTTTTATTTAACCTGGGAATAGTCACATAATTCTTTTACGTAAACAACCACATAAAGTGTTTTTATATTCCAAAATAAAATTATAAAATTATTATTATTAACAATATATTGTGTATATTACTGATTGTTTTTTTTTTATTTAGTATTTTAGAAGAATAGATTATAAATATAGATTTAATCATAATTTTCTAAAGATATAATAAATAGAAAAAAAAACAAATGTTAAATGGAATAAGTAGCTTATTATGAATTTATTTAAAAAAAAATGAAGATTATAATGAATATAATTTTTTTATTGTGGATTTCAAAAGAATTGCATATTTAAAGATTCGTAAAGAATAAATTATATTATTTAAAAAAATATCTTAAATATCTGTAAAATACAACAATTCATAATTATTTTCTAAATTCATAATTTTTTATCGTTAAATATCAAAATACTCCATGTAAGTATCGAATTGATATTGCTTCTTACATTTTGTCGCAAGTTTCGATGCTATGAGTTATCAGCTTTTGTCCTTGGAAGCTTAAGCAGAACAAGTGAAACAATTGAGCAATAATAAAAACGAAGTATCTCATTGCTTCTGCTAAGTTATGTAACTGTATCGACAACTTGAATGCGAGAAATATAAAATCCTATTTTAGTTTTTTATTATATCACAAAATTCTAGTATTTATCTATTTTATATACGTAACTAACACTCACTTGTACTAAGGTAATACTCAAGCCAATTGTAACCATCAAGAGTTGTACAGCGAACGATATCGAAAAGGTATCTTCGAGAAGTTTTGCAAACCTAGAATAAGAATGCGATACTAATGATTAGACATCGGATTTTTATGCAAATATTTTTTGCAAACAAAATATG